TGATGAGGGCTTTATCAAGCGCACTTGCATAAATTGCATCACAAAGTGTCTTCTACCATAGAGAAGAAATGCCAACCATCTTCTATCACACAAAAGAGAAATCCAGCTGCTGAATTCTGGAGCGTCTCCTACTACATAAAAGAAGCGACGTCTTCTATTACATAGAAGCGACATCCAGCAACCATACCAAAGAATCTTCTACTACACAAAAGAGAGTAAACTTCATCTCCTACTTCACAAGAGAGAAGTTTTAGCAACCGAATTATGGAGAATCTCCTATTTCACAAAAGAGTCTCTGTCTTCTACTGCACAGAAGCAAAAATTCAGAAACTGTAACAAAGAATCTTCTACTACACAGAAGGAAGTAAACTCTGAATATAGCATTCGGCCTTTGAGGTATTTTTCTTCTACACTATAGTAGATATCCAAGAACTCGATATCTTATACTTCTTCATCACAGAAGCATCACCATATCTTATCCTTACACATAAGAAGCATCCAGTTGAGGAGAAAGAGTCTGAAATGGTTTTCCAAACATGGATTGAACCTTGGAAAAGAATCCAAACAACTACCAAACTTCATACTTCAACCCCTTGCAGTATTCAATATCCTAACTAAGTGCCCCAGAATGGGAGACACATCTAGCATTTGTATTGAAATCAGGGGAGAGATTTGTTGGAGGATGACCCAAAGCATGAAGCTTAATCAACTGAGCTTCCAACACGCGAGGAAGTAACTGGATAAAAGGAATTGAGATTGTATCAATCTTCTTCTCAAGCTTTTTCTATCTCTGCTGGTAAGTTTTACCACATGGGTTCACTTGGGGACCAGAAACTATCTGCTAGCAAGAATATCCGAGAACACGAAGATCTGGGTGAGACCCACAAAGTATCTCATGATTTGAAAAAAAAAGTCCCATAGGCTGGGGATGAATGACAGCTCCTGTTGCGACAACGTATACAGTATCACCTTTCTTTACCGACACTATCTTCAAAACGTCCATACCCGACTCAGCTAAGTCTTCAACTGGCTATTTTTCTCCTTGAGGATTTATGACTATAGACCATTGCTTGCATAACCCCAATAAACAGCCCCCATCTGATTCTTTTCATCTCATAAATTCCCCACAAAGTTGTTTCATAACTTGAATCTGACCACGGAGCGGCGGGAAGTCAAGATTCACAATTCTGAAGAGAAAATACTGAGTCTGAATAAGGATTCCCCATTCTGAGTACCTTCTGAGTACCTTCTACGGATGCATGAAGATGCATGAGGTGAGTGAGAGAATCCCTCTTCTGATGTGATTTGGAACACCACAGTCTCCGGATTGATCTCGTCTTGGACCTTGTCTCTAGATGATGTATCATCTTCAATCGAACAATCAATTGCCCCAGAATAATATGCGTAGAAGATTCTTTCAGGAGAACAAATGAATGCTTTTCCAAGCGAATCGATATAAACTGTTGAGAAAGAGTGTGGCAATTGGCCAAATAGGAATTGGACCTTTGGAAGAGACGCAAAACCGGTGCTTGGATTTATATTTCAACCCCCTTGCAGTCTTCAATATCAAAACTGGGTACCCCAGAATAGGGGATGTATCTAGCATACATATCATAATCAGAAGAGATGTTTGTGGGAGGAAGACCTCAAAGATCAGAGCTAGGAAGAACTGGGAATAATGGGATGTAATGCATTGGGCTCGCATCAACATGCTCATCAGGATTCTTGTGTCTTGGCTTAAAAGCTTTGCCCCATGAATTCACTTAGGGAATAAAGACTGGCTCTTGTTGAACAAATTAGGGGACACAAAGTTATGGAATTCCCCTGATTAAAAAGTCTGATGCCCCGGTGTGGCAACCACGTCTGACGTTGATCAACAAGAACGAAGCACTGATATAAGATCATATAGTAAATGGGAACCATCTCCTGATAAGATGTTCCAAGAACTCAGGATTGTGTAGCACTCCATGGTCAAAAGTGTTCCCTAAAAGATGAGGAGAAGAGAGAATCTGCTGTAACAGTAGGTGCAAGATTGTTGACATCATCAGAGCTTCCATAACCTGACTTATAAGAGTTTTCAATCAATTATCTTCCCGCTTGAAGAGATTTCTAACCACGGGCCGAAGCTTGCATGTATACCCGAAGTTATTCCATAACTGATCTCTGGGCACGTGATAGTAAGAATCAAGTTGAACCTCTGAAGAAAACACATGGTCTGAGCAAGAATCCCCAATCTTCGAGTACCTGTTATGGATGCCTGAATATACATGGGATGCATGAATGGATTCCATGTCATTTTCTGTTATTTCCAAGGAATTTACGTGCTTTGATTTTGATTTTACGTAAGTAAGGATGGAAAGTTTCAACATAAGGCTTGCAAATATGATTGCTTGGAAATAATATAACATGTATGTTAAGCATGTGGTTAACCATGTTATGTATGCAAAGGCATGGGATCAAATGGGATCAAGGTTCCATTATTTCTGAATATGATTATTGCATTGCTTCTGAACCATACGAGTATCATCAAGCCAAAGGTTTGTCATAGCTTCCGCACATAAGAACCAAGTACTATGTAGATCATTGATTGTACGGGATCAAGGCTTCTGGAACTGGATACCGTTGAGCCTTTTCTGAACATGCTGGGAATACTAAGATCGAAGGCCTGGATGAACCTCCAAGTATACAAATCAGGAACTCAGAAAATAAATCTGAGAACCAAATAGTCACCAACAAAACACCATATGCATAAGTCACCGACATAAATCCAGAACATAGTCATTAGAACCACTAATCACCGTCTGATCATAGTCACCATCTGAACATGAGTAACCATTTGGACATATTCACCATTTGTACCTGTGATAAAATTCCCTCCCCGCTCACGGGTGAAGACTAGGTCAGGGTGCGACAATGGTAACTCGAAAATCATGGGTCCGCCTGAAAGTGCTATGGGCTTACCCACAGACGCGGGTGCCGATAGTAATTCATTTGAACCTCATCCGAGCGTGGTATATGACATGACTGCACTAATCAGACCACGTCCTATAGTCGTCATGCCCCCACTCTATTCCTAGGGTCCTAGTGCACTCTGGCCTGGGTACTGGGCCTTTTACCTCAATAGTAACATCCCCACCCAACATGGAAAACAAGAATCCAGCATAATAGATAACAGATAGGGAAAGCAATAAAATGCAATGCAAACTTATGCTCAGATAAACATGTACAAATGAGTAAACTGAAAGCATAAAAATAAACACCCAAAGAAAAGAAAACAAGAGCTAGGATCGACTCCGGGATGGACCAGCATTTGGTCGACCTTTTCCCCAGTGAAGTCGCTAGCTGAAACAATCGGCTGAAAATCATCAAACAATGAAGTCACCATCAAACGTCTTTTATCCCACACGAAGGGAAAGGTAAACATCGAGAAAACCTAAGGAGGAAGAAGTCACGGTCTTGCGACCGAGAGATCAGGGTAAGGGAGTCTGTTATGCGAGGGGAAGGTATTAGCACCCTATACGCCCGTAGTACTCTACGGTATCCCCTCTTGTTATCTATCTTATGGGTGTGTTTAATCTATGCTTATTGTTTACTATTGCTAAAGGGAGAATGCATGCAAACAAAAGGGGAAAAGAATGTAGGGAAAATAAAATTGTGCTCGTTCGGGCCCTACCCCGATGCCTACGTATCCCTTTTAAGGAATCAGAGCAGCCGTAGTTCAGCTCATATGTTTTTATTTATTTGTATTTTTTAATGAACAATATTAATATCGCCTTCTGCCGCAACTCGACCTTCGGAGACTTACGCGTCAGCACATAAGTGAATTAGTATGTTCTTTTGAAAAAGTTTGGAGAAAATGTGCTTGGGCACACAGAAAATTTGAATTGGTTTGTATTTTAAATGAACGATATTAATTTCACCTTCTGCCGCAACTCGACCTTTGGAGACTTACACGTCAGCATAGAAGTGAATTAACTTGTTCTTTTGAAAAGTTTTGAAAGGAAGGCCCGTAGGCAAAAGGGGTTTGTGTCTGTTGGTGTTTTTGCTTGTGGATAATAGCTAGTTAATCTCAAGAGAGAGATTTTAGTCATTTCTCCACTTATTCATGAAATGATTCTTTGATACTTGAACCATGCCAAGACTTAGAATGGAAAAACGATAAGATCGAGAAGAGACCCGCTTATCATCTCCCATGTTCAACAAAGGCACGATTCTCGTCAGCAAATTTTTAGTATTTTTGAAGTTTGTAAGAAAAAAAAAGTTTTTGTTTTAAATGCATATGCAAAAAAGGGAAGGAAAGTCATAGGGAGACTAGCCTAAATCTATCCCTAATGTTATTAAACTTCACATGATCTATGAGAAGAGATAAATATGGGGTGAAAATAGAAAGAAAATATACCAAACGATTACTAGCCCATAGAGCAAAGCAAAAAAGCAAAGAAACCCGACGATCTCGTGAGCTGCTAGCATCAACAAAGAAAAGAGTTAGAAATCCAATGCTCGAAATAAGTGTTGAAGCATCATCGATGTGAAAATAAATCACAATCGAAATTTCAAGCGTATCCACATATCGCACAATAAACCTGCACAAGATTTAAATCTCAACAAGAAAAGGTGAACTACAAATCTCAAATAATCGGTTGATCCCGATTTAATTCCTAAAAATCAAAATCGAAATCTAACAAATTTTATTGAATTTTTATTATTTTTATTATGTGAATAAAATTCAAACAAAACAATTATCACAATTATTTAAAAGAAACTACTAAGCTCAAGGGGTACGAACCAGTAATCCAGGGGTTTGCTGAAGAAATTAGGCGCTAGGCTTGACTTATGAGTCCAACAAGGCCCTTTTTTTGTTGCTTCTACACCAGGCCTTCCAAAAAAGTGGATAGCGGGCCTAAGCCGTACGATTCGGTCCAAGGAGCAGTCCAACAACACCATTACTAATTTTTTTCAATTATTTCTATATTTGTTTTATCAATAATAACAGAAAAGAAATAAATAGGAAAACAAAGAAAGAGGAACTAGGGATTTGGCTTCTTCATCATTCAAAACAAACTCCCTCCTCTTCGTTCCCTTCGACGGTGCCGGCAATAGCCTCAACTTCATCTCCGATTCTCAACCTCAGTGTCACTCTATCGTGGCGATTTTGCTCTCCGATTCAAATAATAGATACGAAAATAGTGTACATGATGAGGAAGAGGAATTGCTTACCTACCAGAGAACTTCAGTGGTTCTTCAACAGCCGCGAAGACAAGAAATCTCAAACAGGTAAGCTTTTCAGTTCTTTGCTTCTGCCAATTCCGATTTCGTTTCTTCACTTTTATCTCTTCTACTTGTTTCTTCTGAGAAATTCTTTTGTTTGTGATTCTCTTCTTCTTTGCATTTCTATACGTTTTGGTGATGCGATTATTGTTGTTGATTACAGATGAGGCTTGTTGGAATTGCGGTCGTTGTTGAAGATGTGCAGTAATGGAGAGTGATGCAGAGTTGATGAGGAAGATCAATGAAATGTTGTTGATGCCAAGGCTGAAGATGCGATAGAGGCTTGCGATTCAGGGCTTGAGGCCATTAGATGCAGAGTGTTAATGGTGATTTTTCCAGAGGAGATGAAGATGTTGTGATGGTGAATCAGAGTGAAAAAATGTGGAATAGACAAAGAGCGATGCGTGCGTGAAGAATAGATGAATCTGCGATTATTGATTCAGTTACTTGAAGTAAGAAAAGAATGACGAATATGAAGTTTTGAGAAAGTCGAGAGGAATTTCTTCTTGGTAAGTTTCTTTTGTAGTTTTTCTCTGGGGTTTTTCTTGGTGAATAATGATTATGAATCTGAAACTGAATAAAGATATCCCCCTCCTTGCATCTGCGAATTCTGTTATATAGATTTTCTATAGAGTTTGTTATGGATTAGTTGGGAATTCTGTTGAAGTTGTTAGAGTTAGTTAGCAGTTTTGAGGGTTGTTTAGAGGTTGTTATGCTCAGCTGGCAGGTTGGTTTGAAGTTAGTTATAAGCTGGGACTAAGTTTGTTAAAACTGTAAGTTAGTTAGTAATTCTATTAGGCTACTGTTAAGAGTTAGTTGGGTTAAGAAAATAATTAAGGAGTTCTGTTAGAAGTTATAGACAGTTAGAAAAGTTGGTTATTAATTATGTTGGATAATTCTTGGTTATCATGAGTTTAATGCTAAAAAAATTGTTAGTTGCAGTTATACACAGTTAGCTTGAAAAAAAATTAGTATAGTTTGATAGAAAACATTTTTGTTCTTAACAAAGCTGCTAATGAATGTCAATATATATATATATATATATATATATATATATATATATATATATATATATATATATATATATATATATATATATATATATATATATATATATATATATATATATATATATATATATATATATATACATATATATACAGTTAGTTGGGTTAAGAAAATAATTAAGGAGTTCTGTTAGAAGTTATAGACAGTTAGAAAAGTTGGTTATTAATTATGTTGGATAATTCTTGGTTATCATGAGTTTAATGCTAAAAAAATTGTTAGTTGCAGTTATACACAGTTAGCTTGAAAAAAAATTAGTATAGTTTGATAGAAAACATTTTTGTTCTTAACAAAGCTGCTAATGAATGTCAATATATATATATATATATATATATATATATATATATATATATATATATATATATATATATATATATATATATATATATATATATATATATATATATATATATATATATATATATATATATATATATATATATATATATATATATATATATATATATATATATATATATATATATATATATATATATATATATATATATATATATATATATATATATATATTTTGTTTCTGATCCCTTCCCATTTCTGTTTTATGAATCGATATTGTTCCTTTGCTTTTCTGTGTTTATTTTGTTTAAATGATTAGTCATTTTCTTCCCTTGCGTATCATCACTTGGTTTTTCAGGACAAACCAGGAGAGAAGAATCAAGAAACACTGAACCTTTTGGCTGTAATGCTGGTTTTTTCATTCACAGTAACCATGTGCTTGTTATCCTCACTTGAAGAACCTATCAAAAGATTTTTATCGATGCTAGTGTATTTTCTTAAAGTATCGAAATCTTCCTCTCTGAAATCAGTTCTACACTTCATTTCAGAAGAAATCCTATGTACAGAATCTACATATAGAGCTTTCTCAACAACAACGTTTTCACAGGTTGATTCAAATTGAATTATGTCAGAGCCTGATGATTTTTCGACACCTCTTCCTTTCTCCTGAGAAATATTTTTAGTGATTGGAGTCTTGGATGTTATACTAGATGAATGATTAGCATGAGAACCCATTGTTCTTCCCGTGATCTTAGAGTGAGAAGTTTGGTTAGAACTTTTAAATTGAGTGTGACTTTGTGAGAAAACAGGGCCATTGTTAGCAAGTTTTGTAGCAGAACCGGTATTGGTGGATGAATCTTTATTTCGAATAGTTGTTGCAGGTTGCTGTTGTTGCATGCCATGCTGCTTCTGAAGCAATTGCGAAGACTATTGAGAACTTGAAGTATTATATGAGTGGTTTTTTTCATCATCTTGGTGGGAGGAATTTCCTCCTCTTTTATCCACACTGAACAGTTTGAGGTGTACTTGCAGCTTGATATCCTTGGCGTGCAACATCAGGCAGACTTTGAATTACTAGTGGATTCTGTTTCATGGATGAGAAATTAAGGTTTGATGGAAGACTTGTTCCGTTAAATGAAGTAAATGATACTACAAATGCTTGAGAGGGTATAACCTCAACTCCCCCATTTAAAGCATGTTGCTGCTTGCTGTTGCCACCAACAATATCGGATGTTGCACTTGGCTTGAAATAAAAGTTCACTGACTGAACTGGAATCGTGAAGTTATGCCCTTGCGAATTCTTTATTGGGTAAGATGCATGATTAGCAAAAGACTGTACATTATTTCCACTCACCTCAGTCTCTTGCTTATGAGGATTTGACTGTGGATCCTGAAAAGGATGAAATGTTTGAGAAGAGTACAGAGACCCGCCTATTAAATGTATTGTTTGTGAAGGGCTTGCACCTCTGATTACTGCAGTTGCTCCAAGAAAAGTGGTCGAAATGGGGAATGAATACCCGTTATTGTGAACTATAGTCGCATAAGAAGGATTATTAGATTGGATTATAATTTTTCATGTAATTATTTTTTGAATGTAGTTTTCTATGGTTTTGTAATGGTGTTCTGAATTTAATTGAATCGACAAAAATGGTGTATAGAATTTGAAATTGGAATGACTTATGGTGAATTTTTAATGAATGAACTTGTTGGAATTTTTGTTGAATATGGAATGAAGAATTTTTGAAATGGTGGATGGGACTTGAATGTTATAGTGTGAACTGTAAATGGCTTTGCGCTTGTAAATTCTATTGAAACCAAGATAATGCAGTATGACCCAGCATACAAATGTAACTTTGCGAATTACTTTCTTTTCATTTGATTTTGAGTTTCCCGAGAAAGAAGTGTCTTCCTTTCTTTTTAATATCCCAAGTCCTTCATTGACGTTGTGTTTGTGAAATCCCAATGTCTCGCATTCTATCAATTTGAATGAACTCTCTTGCTTAAATATCTTCAAATGAACGAATCTAAGCTTCTTTAAATCAACTTGAGTGAATACATGCTTATATATCTTCATGTACTTCACCCATAACCCGAATCTTCCATATGAAGCTTTAGATTTTGATCTTAGGGCATTGAAATGAAATCCAAAGAAATTAGATTGTATCACAAGTAAGCCAATCGACCAGATGAAGAGATTTGCATCATAAGGTATACAAACCCTAATTCGTGAAGAAGGTCCAACTGAATCTTCTCCTCTGGAATAGAGCTTGTGCCCATATGACTTGAGATTCAAGCAATGGTTCCCTTCTTATTTTTCAAAGATATATCAATTGAAACCCTGGTTATTCATGGAAGATATCCCCTTATGATAGCCTTGCCTGATAATCACAACTTCCCAGAGAAAAATCTCTTGAATGGTACATGATTTAAAGAAATAAACCCTAATCAAAGGATGACGTTGAGCACAAGGAGATAATGAATGCCTGATTTAGTATCCCTTTAGATGACCTCGTAGAACAACTTGGAAATGAACATGGGGATACAGAAAGAAATATGACCAAGTTGGCCATGACTTAGAAAACCTAATGAACCTCGGTTGATGAAATGCTGTCAAGCACAAACTTGGTGGAGAAACACTCTGACTCTTGTCTTGAATGAGTAATAACCCTCTTAACTTGAAGAGAACAGAACCCTCAATAAACATAGGTTGCAACCCTAATTTCAGATTTTACTGCTTGAAGGATAATCAGAAGAATCAGGCTTTATTGGATACGAACACCTTAACTGCTACGAAACCCTAATATCGCACAACCACTGAACTTCGAAACTCAGACGCTTTATTGAATGCCAATGTATGTCAATGACCTAATGGAAAGATATGAATGCAATGCTAAGCCTAAGCCAAATATAAGAAACTAGGGGGGCAAATTTTGGGGTGCAACAGTAAGATGTTGAATCTTCTGATGTGACATCTTAATCTGCTTTCCAATTTGATAATCACCACATACCCTTGCTTGTTCTATCTTGAGCTTAGGAATCCCTCTCACTACTTCTTCAGATATAATTCTTTTCATACCTTTAAGATGCAAGTGCCCCAATTTTTGGTGCCATAGTTTAACTTCATTCTCTTTGGCTAAAACACATGTTGAGAAGAGGTTTAACTCTTGAGGAACCCATAGATAACAGTTGTCTTTAGATCTGATTCCTTCCATGATAACTTCATTCTTTTCATTGCACACGAGACATTCTTCCTTGGAGAAGTTAACTTTGAATCCTTGATCACATAGTTGGCTTATGCTTATCAGGTTAGTTGTTATCCCTTTTACAAGTAACACATTATAAACTTAGGAACTCCTGAATAGTCAAGCTTGCCAACACCTTTGATTTCTCCTTTTGCTCCATCACCAAAAGTCGCATAACTGGTGGAATGAGATTTGACATCCACCAACAGATTCTTGACACCTGTCATGTGTCTAGAACAACCACTATCAAAGTACCAGTCATCTTTAATTGATACTCGGGGGGAGGTGTGAGCAATGAAACTACCAACCTTGGACTTGGGACCCCACTATTTCTCCTTTTTGCTATTTTGGGGAGTCTTATCAGTTTTGGGAAGAGGAGATTTTTAGGGATCCATACAACTTAAATTAGAAGGGCCTTATATGTCAAAGCCTTCCACAGTGATGACATCTCCAGGGCTGGGGATTCTCCCTGGTGTGATTAAGCTTTTTCTTCCCATGATGTTTACCATGATGTCCTTTCTTCACATGAGGTTTCCCAAGATGTCCTTTCTTATTATGATGTTGAGGCATTTGATTCGACATCTTTGGTTT